TATGTAATACACATTAACAATGATCTGCCCCGATCCAGCGTTAGTGTGCTACGTTAGACAGCAGTATGTAAGTCAGTAAAAATATGTGTTACTTTACGCCCCACGACTCAACACTACAGTTAGTTACACTGCAACAACAATAACAACAGGCTACACACAAACTCACAGCACCCATAAGTGTAACTAGTCTAGTTTACAGAACAATCCACATGTTTACATGTCTGCGTATTACATCATATACGATATCTACATAGGACAGGACTGGACAATTTGTTTTCCCAGTTAGACAATAATCGATTTAATTTGAATATAATTTGTTTATAATAGTAAAATGTATTTAACGACCTTTTCAATATATCTGTATTATTAGGATAGTTCAAAATAGAATAGGGTTTTTTTAACCGCAAAAACGAAATGTCCGGTTTTATTTCGCAAATGTCTAGTTTCTACATTAATTTGAGTGAGGACAAACTAAATGTTCACCTCCTAATTCCCCAATCGATTACACTTTCTTTAGAATGCCTATATATTTTTCTTTGCACTTCTGTACGAAATGTCAACGATCTTTTCTGTGCTTATGTTAGTCACAGTTGTACCCCTCCACAAATGTTTCCATTTTATGTATTCAATGAATAGTTACAGAACATAACATAATAGCTAAACATAATGCATTTACATAAAACTATTTTATAACTGGTATATTTCTGTTAGATATTAGCAGTAAGGATATTCTTATAAAGTTTATATATGTTGTGTCAGGCTGGATTTTCGTCAAATTACAAAATAAAATGTGATTAAATGACATTTAAACTTACAAGATTAACATAACACCAAAGATTTGGTTCGATACAGTATGCCACACTGTAGTTACACTGCATCATACAGCTGTTTCGCCTTCTAGGACTCATCGGTGGTCCTAGGGGCCAAAACAATGGAAATCGTAAAATAATGATATATAAATAGATAAACCTATCGTGACACAACATAGATGATGTAAGTGCTATAAGACGGACAAAGAAAACACCTGGGCCCGTATTCATGAAACCGTTCTCTCCCAGGCATGGATTCTGTGCTCACAACGTGTCAAACGATCAAAAAGTGAAATGAAAACAATGTTTGGCTTAACGTTTCTTCAATGTTTTTCCAAATCATAGACAAAATAGGATTGATTTATTTAGTTTATAGCGACAACTATAAATAAGGCTTGAGCACAAAATCAATGCTGGAGCATGAGAACTGTTCCATGAGTACGGGCCTAACGTTTTATCGACAGCTGTCGAAAGCCTCCATTCCAGTGGATCTGACTTCGGATTGATACCTAGTACATGCAGGAAGGCAATATATTAAAAACCGAATGTTTAAACCCTCGAATAACTTTCATTACCCGACCATTATTGTCTACTGTTTGCAGAAGAATGTATAAATACCTCCGTTTCGAACGAAGGAAAATAGTTTACCTGTTGACGAGCAGTATGGTTTCTACAGATGTGTAGACTATATTTAATCATACATAAGAAGTATTCGGCATTTGTCACGTTTAAAATCCTTCAAACGGCACTGACTCAGCCGATCATGTTTTATTGGTTTATAAAGTACTGCCACCTGGAGTGACGGTACAATGTGTACGTGTTGGTGACATATAAACAGACTGTAGGTTCACTGGGACCTCGGGTTAAAAGATGGGAACAACACATCACCCACGACTATAAAGTTTTTAATAACGAATTAATGATGAAAATCATACAACTGAACGTTGGGGTAACTCTTAGTATAGGAAAGTTAGTATTGGGACGATAAAACCATCTCGGCAGGGAATAAAAGAGATATAACGGTAATGCTAGGCCACATTTATAACTGATATAAATAATGGAGACTGTTTGTAAAACAAAACAAAAAGTCAAAGGTTATGTACCGTAGCTCTATTCGGGAAAAGAAAATGATTTTGTCTTTAAATACGGAGGTCTTACATTATGGGGAAGTTGGTCAGCAATGCACACTCTTACACGATAGTGTCACCCCAAACTTGACCGGCTGTGGCGAGGTCAGATCGTTTAACGGCTCAACAAGTGGACGGTTAAACAACAGATTTACTTCCATATGTGGAAAGGTGTTTTCTCATGGAATATTGCAAGTATGACTTCACAGGAAGACCAACACATCTTTACCAGCGAGCTATAATGGACGTTTGTCCTTGTAGGAATAGCGAACCATCAATATAAGCAACCTACATTGTAACAGACTATATGCTGGGTTCTGTGGGTTGTTTTCGATACTAATAATATAATACAAGCTCAATATTGTTTTTGTAAGTAACTGATTAAGATCAAGCATTTGTATATATTTTTTACCAAATAAAACTTCAAGTAAACAATGATTAGCATTTAAATCAGACCGTTACAGCTGTTTTTGAGCCAAAACTGTATATGTATGTCAATATTTAACGAAATACCCGTTTTTGCGACTTATCTCCAACGTTGCTGTTTTTATTTTCATTTTCCTTGTTCAGATTAAAAAATACGCGACGATTTAATAAATGATAGCAATTTTTATTATGTTCATGCTTTTTTCCGTGTTTATTTTTGCCCGGGTCTAATGTAAAACTATCGATCGAAAAGAAATGACTTCAGTCCAGAGTTTATACAGCACAAATTGTGTTTTACATAACACGACAAAAAGAAAATAATCATTTCTAAAAGAGTGCACAAGTGCATGTTATACTTTTATAAAACCAAATTTAAAAACTATACTTCATTCAATGTTGCTGAAAGCTGAATGTCGGGTTTTCCGCGGTCTCTTTATCTGTGCTGAGTACATAACATATTTGTTAATTCAATGTCACAACAGCCATTATGTGTAAAATGATTCTGCAGAATGCACTAGTTATCGGTAGTTTGTGTAATGCTATACCTGTTTTTATTCCAAATAAATCGGTCAGATTTACCTGTGACGAGAAACGTCCATTGATGTTTTTGTATGTCGTACCTAGCGCGGCCTATGCGATCGTTTATCGGTCAGACGGGCTATAGGAGGGTCCTTATAGGAATGCATTATCATAAGTATGTGAAAAATTAGGAAATGTTGTGTTAAGTCTGGGAAATCCCCTGTCAATTGTTTTCCTTATTGAGTTGCCGACCCACTTAGACCCCACTAACGTACTACCGAGTGCTCCACCACAGTACCGGCTTCAGGAGATCAGTTAGATATAATAGGCGTTTCCTTAAAGCTTAGACAGAGAAAACGACGGAAAAGTATATAGAGAGAGAAAGAAACATTCTAGCATGTCCTTAAAACAAATGTTTGAAAGAAAAATGTCAACAGCATACATTAACACACAAAAAAAAGAGAAAATGAAATATCTCTTGGGTAAAAGGTATCGCTTAACGTATAGACTGGTAACTATTATATTGGAGAGACTGGAAGGTGATTTGGGGTGACCAGAAAGATACGTAAACCCAAAAAAGAAGGAAATTCACCAGATCACAAAGGAAGCAGTCGGAGTCACAGATAAATAAATCGGCAATCACAGACCATGCCAATTAGAAAAATCATGTGCTTGACTGGGATAACTCCAAAGTATTGGACAGAGAGAGCAGTCTGTTCAAGCGGCAGATAAAGGAAGCCATCTGGATACGCCGCAGTGGACTGGTTCTATATCGAGATGAGAGGGCTCATAGACTCTCGCACATCTATGACTAAGAATTAAACAAAGCGTAGCTGAATCGAGTAATTTCGGTACATATATAACAACTATTGTTCATACGCTTATAGCGTAGCCGAATCGACATCGATTTGTGGACAACTCGTACATATTTTACACCTTTGTGTGCATACGCCTCACTGGTCATTTGTCTGATGAAGGTGACAGAGTATATACCGTACTAGTCATCGAAACGTCACATAGAAACACGTATTGGTTGTATAACAAGAAACATTTCATAATCCACACTTACCAACCTCAAATAACGTATAGAAAAAGATTGGTATCTAACATAAGACTAATAACGTTTATATATACTCAATCATCCTCATGTAAACCAATTCTGAGAAAAATACTTTATGAAAGGTCTTCAGTTAAACAACTTTATAGTAATACTGTTTATTATTATGTGAGAATATTTACTGATAAAGTTAATACATTTGAGCCACTGTCAGGTTTAATACCGAACTCCGGGTCGAGGACGATTCCGTGCCACGTAGAGCATTATATTAGCAGTTAAAGCTCAGTAACTGAATTCGTCAATCACTGTTTGTGTCATTGGTAATACCCTTCCCTTATATTTAATAAATTACATTCTTATACCTATTACACAGCAAATGTTAAACGACCAGTTTTTACAAAAGTGGAGTAATGCAATTTTTACTTCCTCTAAGTCTGTATGTTACAGAACACATAAATATAATTGTAATTTTGAAAATTATCTAGAACTGTTGATTGCAAATGAACGAATGGAAGACATTGGTGACAAATTCACTACTTGTTAAATGTCCCTTTCTGTCTACAGAAAGGAAGTTATATTTATACCAATACTACTTTATAATGCCAAATATTGTTAAGTTCTCAGAACTAATGAATACAAACAATGTTAAAATTTTAAGAAATTTATGCAAATTTATCAAATTTTGTTGGAAATATTACATTTGATATTATATACTGTTGTAACTATGTTTTCTCTGTACATTTATAATTGTATATATTTATTGATATAAAGAGAAATAAAGTTGAAAGTTAGCACTCTACCGAACATTATTTCAGGGCACATGTATGTTAAAGGGGAATCTAATTGATCTATAATTGTATGTTAGTTATTCTTGGTAAACCTGTAAATTATCTTCGTCTGTAACAGCACTGTTAAACACCTCATCTCCACGTACACTATGATAGCAAACCGTCGGTAAAAACACAAAAAATCATCTCAAAGTAACACTTTATTCCAAAATAGAGTAAATTCAACATCATACTGTTACAAAAATAATTAAATTACTTCGTACTTATTTGCATTTATTATATCATCATACAATTTCATATATTTCATAAATAGGAACAATTTTGAAGCAGATAAGTATAAAGTATAAAATAACGAACAATCCATGTTGATCATAGTAAAAGAAAATATCATTAAATAGTTGGATATAAACTATGTGAGACAGACACATGTACATTTGTATGTAACACCTTCAACAGAAAACAAGTACAGTATTGTGCGGTTTGTGATCAGGTAGAATAAACAAGGGCAGCTGAACACCAATCTAATTAAAATCAGATCTCTGACTACACTACGTTATGGAGGCTATAACGTAGTGTAATGAGGGGTCCGATTTTAATTAGATTGGCTGAACACAAACTGGTGTTAGATCAGCATACGAGTGACTCTGTTACGACAAGCAGATGGACTAGTGTTCCAAACATACTCTACAACAAACTCTACACAGAAGATTTTTTTGTAAATCACAAACAAGTTATTTTAATACAACAGCAATAACATCTATAGTGTCGATTTATACCTGTCAGCTAGTGTGTACGTGTTCAAAACAATCTTACACTTGTAATCAAGTCACGTACAAGATACAAGATGCAAGATTTTTTTATTTAGAGTCGTGTTTGTAACAATGCAACTTTAGCCCAGAAGAGCCTGTCGGCTGTTATAACGGTTGTATGCGGGTAGTCTGTGGGTGTTGGTTCACTCTATGTATTACATATTGCATTTAGACCCTTTATGTGCTCTGCCCTTAGATATCGACATCAGAAAGCTCCCCTTCTGATGCTACAAATTCGGCAAACTCTAGTTCACCATCCATACGATTTGGCCCCGAATCGGTATACTAAGCGCTTTCCTAAAACCGGGGATAAAATTTCCCTTTTATAATAATATCTGAAAAGAAAAACAAGAATATATGTAGTAAAGAGTAAAAGATAATCGTACCTCCTACAGATGTGGTCATTTCAGAAACAATTTTCAAAGTAATTTTCAGTGACCGTCACATACTAAATTAAAATCAGTGGCCTTCACATACCAATACCTAGGCTGTATAAACAGTGGCTTCACATACCAATACATAGGCTGTATAAAGAGTGGCCTTCACGTACCAATACCTAGGCTGTATAAACAGTGGCCTTCACATACTAAAATTAAAATCAGTGGCCTTCACTTACCAATACCTAGGCTGTATAAACAGTGGCTTCACATACCAATACAGAGGCTGTATAAAAAGTGACTTCACATACCAATACCTAGGCTGTATAAACAGTGGCTTTACATACCAATACCTAGGCTGTATAAAAAGTGACTTCACGTACCAATACCTAGGCTGTATAAACAGTGGCCTTCACGTACTAATACCTAGGCTGTATAAACAGTGGCCTTCCCGTCCCAATACCTAGGCTGTATAAACAGTGGCTTCACATACCAATACATAGGCTGTATAAACAGTGGCTTTACATACCAATACCTAGGCTGTATAAAAAGTGACTTCACGTACCAATTCCTAGGCTGTATAAACAGTGGCTTTACATACCAATACCTAGGCTGTATAAAAAGTGACTTCACGTACCAATTCCTAGGCTGTATAAACAGTGGCCTTCACGTACCAATACCTAGACTGTATAAACAGTGGCCTTCACCTACCTTTGTTTGAACTAATGACCTTCACATACATTTATTTGAACCAATAACCTTCACATACCTATGTTTAAACCAATGACCTTCACATACCTATGTTTGAACCAATGGCCTTCACATACCTATGTTTGAACCAATGACCTTCGCATACCTATGTTTTAACCAATGACCTGCACATACCTATGTTTGAACCAATGACCTTCGCATACCTATGTTTTAACCAATGACCTGCACATACCTATGTTTGAACCAATGACCTGCACATACCTTTGATTCAATCAGTGACACTGAACATACCAATATCTAGCTAGGCTTCATTCATTGACCTTCATATACTATGCGTCAACAGTGACCTTCACATATACAGGATACGATCAGTTACATTGACCTAACTAGAATTAACTAGATTACACCACTGGTGACATTGACACAACAATGTCACAGTCATTAACCTTGACATATAAAGACTAAATCGAGTCAATAGACAGTCTGAATGATGTGTTCTTGTTACTTAAGTTCCTAGTACTCACCTCATGGCCCTGCTGAGCTTTTCGTACGTCATACATTCGTTGTTTTTCTTTGCTCCCCACATCCGTGCTATTTGGTTAGACTTGACCAATCGGAACTCCCCGACAGATCTGTCTATCCACTTGATGTGTGAGGGGTTGTAAAGAGGGTTTTGAAGTAAGTCCCGAATGAACTCCCACAACCGACATCCTCTCTGCACTGAAGATTTTAAATTAAATGTAATATTCTAGAATATTAACATTACTATAATAAAAATAATATTACAGATTTCATTGTAACGTTGATCACACGTCTTTTAATGGAATAAAGTACTTCCGTTTGATCTAGCCAGAGAATCTCTACCCGAGGGTAAGATACACTGTTATAGAAGCTTTGCGGATTACTACACTTTAAAGATTTTGTTCTGAGAGTTGAGCCTCCTTCTGTCTGCATCACACATGAGTAATTGATTTCCCCCTGTTAATGGTAAGCTCACTGTCCCGCGCCATCATAAAGGTTGTATTAAATGTGCGACAGAAATGATGACGCCACACTCATTAAACTGCATAAAGGGATGGTACGGTAATGACGTTTTCAGAATAATAGCGAATGTGAGCTGTCTTTCCATAGAAAAGTACATTTTGTATAGACGGGTTTATCTTTTCCTTACCAAAAACGGGAATACAGATGTACATTGAGGGAGAAATACTTGTCACGCGGGCAAAGTAACATAACAAAACCAATCGGCAGGGGGTCCCACGTAAGTCGCCTCTTACGATACATGCTACACTCTATGTATAAACAAGATTCACAAATCGTACATTATAATTAGACAAAAATTATAAGTAAGATTGCCTAGGTCTGCATCTTCAGTTTGGTATCTCCAAATAATCACAGTTTGTACTTACTTCGCTTTTGTCTATACTTCAATTTTCCGGTGTCCTTTGTTTTTAAACTTTTATGAAGGCATGGATCGGAATATAAATTATCACTTTTGCTGCGCATGTGTACTGGGGATTCCGGTCTAGGTGGTGACGAGAGTAGTGAATGTGTGAAGTCCACATGTTTGTTATCTGGAAAAGTAAACGAGTCTAGAAGTATAAATTTAGTGTCAGTCATCATTTACAACCTAGGCGGAGACACAATTAACAACTATCATTTTTAATTATACTTTTGACAACATAAGTCAACCGTACCTGTCCTCTGAGCGCCATTGATGTCTATGGCGGCTGATACGTCTATGGGATAGTGGTACCCGTACAGTTCTACGATCACCTCGCCATTACTATTGGTTACTTTCATGTTCTCCACATTGTGGACAAGTTCTGTTATAAAAACAATACCAAACATTCCACAATTATTGAAATCATGCGCGTAGTAATATATACATGTAGTTACGTCAAAACAAATCAACAAATAAGCACAAAACAGAACGGTCATATCATAGTTTATAACGTGTAATTTATACGTGTAATTAATACTAATCTATATCAACATGTCCATCTTCGATGTTTGTCTGATATTAACAATAGCACATTAGCCTAGCCGGACTTAAGTGCGGTCCCTTACTGTGTAAATTTCAGTATAGCCCCTTTACCATGTCTCTGCTATTGATAATAGCCTAGCCGGACTTTAGTGCGGTCCCTTACAGTGTAGATTTCAGTGAAACCCTTTACCGTGTCTCTGCTATTGATAATATCCTAGCCGGACTTGAGTGCGGTCCCTTACAATTATAACATGGCTAACGAATTCTTAAGATCACAGACAGGCACCCTCTAAAGATCGTTAGCCTTTGTTTTCTTATTCAAACCCTGCTAAACATATTACCAAGGATGTTTACTATGATGTTAGTAGTTTCGCATGGCAACAACTGTCTTTATTTGAGGCTGGTGTGCCTCTCTACAGCTAGTAAAAGAGAAACTAAACTCCGCATAACCTATTTATTTAAATGAATTTCAGAAACGTCATTTCATAACATTCAGTTGGGTCGCTTAAGAAAATGACATGTTATAAGACATAAGTCCTACTTAGAAGGCTTGTTGAACCTTCCACTGAGTTGGGAGCCCGGCCTTACAATGTACCTTAGCTCTCTCTCAAATCCTATCTGACAGGTCTGCTTAAATGTTGTTTGTTTACCAACAAATATGTACACGTGTATCCTCGGTTTGTTCGTTTATCCCGGAAAAAGGTTTTAAGATAAAAATCCTTTTAAGGGGCTTTCCGTGTGATTGTACTACACCCTGCACCTTATTATACTGTCTATAGGAGAATGGTACAGACGTGTTACGTTATCGGAGTAGTAACATCTGCAGTCTCCCCACGGCAACACCCATCTCAGATCAATTATCCATCAAATTCCTCTTCCTAGTTGAAATATTTTAAAATCATAAGCCTGCATCCTATTGGTATATGGTACAGGCACGAGGCCTTGTGCTTAGTTTAAAAACTTTTATCACGATGGTCAGATGTCTGCACTACATAGGAGTAATTGTTAGAAAATAATTGTAATGGTGAACCAAATGCACTGCCCTATTAGGGGCGACAAAATGGATGACGCTACCCTGGTTTAACTGCATAACTGATGACGCGATGATGACGTTTTCAGAATGATAACGCGTGTTAACAAAAAAGCTTTGAATGCACTTTTGAAGTGTGCGATACTTTTTTTTCTTAAACTGGACTCATATGGAGAAATGAGGGCCACTTTTCCTCATGAATATTAATGAGGGGCGGAGCATGTTTGATCACGTGATCATCAAAGTTTTCCCGCGCCAAAATGGCAACCAACAGAAAAATAATTGTTCCCAGGCTCAGTTAAGTTACAATTTTGGCGTATTTTAAGACAATTCTGCAGAATAAAATTAACCAACTGACCAAATTGAACGAGTGTTATCAAAGATAATGGGAACGGGAGTTTCATAACTTCTTAATATAAGAAAAAATATAGAATAAATAGCCAGACAGCGGTCATTCTCGCACAAACAAAGTGCATTTTGTACTTGTTACGTCTACACTACATACACATCTTATTTTATTTATATGTAGAAAGACATTTCAGATGCTAGTTGTCAAACATTAACCTACAAATTCCGCGTGGTTAACGAGAAATTGGTGTTTTAAAATCAGAAATTTGCGAAAGTTCAAGCGGCCCCCGAAGGGGTAATGTGAATCAATCATCAACTGCACGATTGGTTTTAAACTAAAATTCCAACAAGCGAATATATAGCCTATAAGTTGTGATCAAACTTGTGTACAAAATTAAAAGGCGTGTTATCTTAAAAAGGTTGCATAATTAGAATAAAACAAGACCAAATATGACTATTACAATCTCATATACATTGCAATAGTGCAGTAAGTATACGTGATACAAAGATTCTAAAACAATAAGGACAGAATAATCACGGGCTGACGGATCAAATTTAAGAAAATCCACTTTTCAAATGCTCCAGGAACCTCGGATATTGCAAATATTCTTAAGACACCTCATAAACTGTGTTTTTTTCTAAACCGGCAGTTATCGAGCGAATCTCGGCAATTTAACTAGGTCATGGAAACAGCATCGAAAAATTCGATCGAAAGTGCAGAAAATGTCTATTTGGTCGTTTTCCAGTATTCGATTGCATAGAATATATAGGCGCCCTCGCTTCAAAAGTTCATCTACTCCAGGAGACTCGAGTTTTTAATGGATCGCGCTAATTAACTTTTATCCCATATTTAGACGGTGTGAAGGGAAATTTGACATCCCTACAAATATTATCCGGATAACTATCCAGCCGATAAACGCAAAAACTTAAAGCCCATAGTGTTATCCCAATGGGCCAAATGGCCGCCATTTTATCCAAGATGGCGGATTATGCAAATTAGCAAAGTGACCGTCATTTCTCCATATGTGGCGTATCCACATTTTTTCCCTGTATAATGTTAATACAAGAATGTATATACTATATCCCTCCCGCATGATGTAGATACGATAATCTCAACCCATTGGTAAGATTTTTAAGAAATTGGTTAAGTATTTCTTCGAAACATCATTCTAATTCATTTGAGATGTAACAAGGCATTTAATTGGTCAGTCAAAATAATTTGTTACAGTAAAACTTATACCGTCCGCAAATTTCTCATTTGCATATGAAGCCCGGTTGACGATTGTTAATGTCATTGATAACCCCGACTGACCCTGAAACGTCATGAAATTGAATATCCGTGACGTCATAGCTCCGCGTCGCCAGTAAAACTCAATTTGGGACAGTATAATCACGATATACCGCCGCAAATTTCAAAATACAGTTGGGTTTTCCCCTTATTCACAGGCATTACAGCTTTATTGACTTTGATTTAACGACACACAAACAATTTTCCTTGATTTTGCTTTTTCATCCATTAATTACCATGTAAACTAAATATATCTAACTGTACCTTCCCGGTAATTTATAAGCAAAAACTGTCCTGCACCGTACAAAGGGAGATACATTTGACTTACCTTTTGTGGTGTCCGCATATCTTGGTGAATCTGTAGTCTGAGGTTGTTCCGCGTAGATATCTTGACTGTCTTGTCTGTGGAAATAGGCTTGGGAATCATCAACCGGATACAGATAGCCGGCCTCTGAGAATTAGAAAACAGGACAAAATATAATCATTAAAAAATATGGTATAAAAACTGGAACAAAGCTCTGAAGCGACCAAAAACCTCCCAGGGACAGACATTTTCATTCTACGACATATCTGACCAACGCGCTATAAAACGGTCTAATAAATCACGGACCTCCATCTTCTACCAGGACAAGGTCCTCTCTACATATTAATATCAGGATAGTGAGGATAGATATGTTAAACTTGAAACGGTCAAGGGTTCCCAAGACTGTTTTCAATTATACGAAGATAAACAAAACCTATGTATGAAATACTTCATTTTCTCTATTGGATAAACATGCTGAGGGTTGTCAGGTAGCACTGTGAATAGTGCATTCGCCTTTCACCTAGAAGGTGAGAGTTATTAATATAATTTAAAAAAGCATGTTTCATATCTATTTTTTGTAAAATATACTGTATGATATGCATAACATATATCTTAAAAGGGCTGTCTTACAATTGCATGTCCATGGAAATGGCATAGAAGGAGAAAACAAAAAGAAATCAAATCATACATGGAGAATTTTTCAATTTAAAAACATCGAAAAGTATATATTAAAATGAAACGTGTATAATATTTTATACAGAGCTCACCGTCGCTGATCCAGTGACAGGCCTCCATCACGCCTTACTGTACACAGTAGATATTAGTGTTTGAGTATTTCTACAAGTGCTACAAGTACTCGTCCTACAGTAAATCAACTATCATCACTACTTTCGTCTCATCCGTATACATACTGTTTATAGTGAAGTCTTACTTCTTACATATGTTTTCGTGTTTAGCGTTATCTCTTCAAATCTCGAAAAAGAAAAAACATTACGCATAAATAGATCGATGTGATTAAAATATGTAAGGTGTGACCCACCGTTCATCACTTCCTACCTCATCAGTCAGGTAAATGATTCTACAGTACTAAAGGAGGGGTTCCTACAACGGACAACTTTTTGCCCTGAAAAAAAGTAGAAGTCTATGGCATATTCTATTATTACTCCTCCGCAGTGGAAGAACACGGGGCTGCCTTTTTATCACCGGTGTAGCATGACAAACGATTCCTAAGATAAGATTTTAATAAAAAATAATGCACAGATAAGTGACAGAATGTTCTAAACACGGTCACGTTATAAAAGCATCAGGTCACAAATCCATCTGCGCTTGCGCAACTTCAAATTGTATGAAATTATTCAGATACCGTCAAAACTTGTACCAATCGATGTTCTGAGTGTGAGGTTTACATGAAAATCGAGCTAGCTCGGAATGTTGGTCAGGCCCGACGGATGTATAACAACACATCTAAACTCTGTAACGTAGAACTGTACATTACGTCGTTTATCATAGAATTTCAGACGTGAGTCTTTTCCTTCTATCTTAGCCTATTCCTACTATCTTAGGTGAAATATTTAGACATCAGCCTATTCCTACTATCTTAGGTGAAATATTTAGACATCAGCCTATTTATACTGTCTAAGGTGGATTATTTAGACATCAGCCTATTCCTACTGTCTAAGGTGAAATATTTAGACATCAGCCTATTCCTACTGTCTAAGGGGGATTATTTAAACATCAGCCTATTCCTACTGTCTAAGGGGGAGTATTTAAACATCAGCCTATTCCTACTGTCTAAGGGGGAGTATTTAGACATCAACCTATTCCTACTGTCGAAGGGGGAGTATTTAGACATTAGCCTATTCCTACTGTCTAAGGTGAAATATTTAGACATCATCCTATTTATACTGTCTAAGGTGGAGTATTTAGACATCAGCCTATTCCTACTGTCTAAGGGGGAGTATTTATACATTAGCCTATTCCTACTGTCTAAGGGGGAGTATTTAGACATTCATTAGCCTATTCCTACCGTCGAAGGGGGAGTATTTAGACATTAGCCTATTCCTACTGTCTAAGGTGAAATATTTAGACATCAGCCTAATTTTACTGTCTAAGGTGGATTATTTAGACATCAGCCTATTCCTACTGTCTAAGGTGAAATATTTAGACATCAGCCTGTCCTTACTGTCTAAGGTGGAGTATATAGACATCAACCTATTCCTAATGTCTAAGGTGGAGTATTTAGACATCAGCCTGTCCTTCCTGTCTAAGGTGGAGTATTTAGACATCAACCTATTCCTAATGTCTAAGGTGGAGTATTTATACATCAGCCTATTCCTATTGTCTAAGGTGAAGTATTTAAACATGGACCTATTTCTACAGACTCAGGTGGGAATTTAGACTGTCTGAGGTAAAGTATTTGGACATTAGCCTATCGCTACTGCATGGGGTGCCATGTTCACTATTTAGCGTTTTCCTCCTGTCTTGATTGAGGTTCAGCATGGGCCTACTGGTTTACTCTCAGAGATGAAGTACTGACCTGTACACAATCGACTGTCCCGTGGGAAGTTCTCGTTACTTTGTGCTATACATCCTGTAACCGGTTCCTGTTTAATACCGTAAGAAACGTTCGATATATATGTAGTACTGTCCCGTGGGAAGTTTTCGTGACTTTGTGCTGTACATCCTGTAACCGGTTCCTGTTTAATTCCGTAAGAAACGTTCGACACATATGTAGTACTGTCCTGTTGCTTTTGCTGGATTTTTCGCCATTGCTTTCGATGATGCACAGAAGTCGGGGAAACTGCCATCTTACAAATGTTTTCTCCATAAACATCTAAGGCAACCTGCTTCAGTTCGATAAAAGTCTTACAGTGTGTATCGCCCTTTTGGTCGGGCATTCTTCCCATGTGCTCCTCCATTTTGTAAACCTGTAAAATCTTTGTGGATCTGTAAGAAAAAACGTTAAGGTTCAATGTAGGTTTGAGTTTGTGTTTTACGTCCCGTCTCGGATTAAGTCGCTGAAACTAAATGTATATTTCGTGAAGTACTCAGAAACAATGGTTGTGTTTGCTTCCGTTGTAATTAATCTTTTTTGGAGGAGGGACATCAAGGTTATAATTATTGAACCGTATACATGTACTTTACCGTAGGGAACCGGTGAACAATGTCGCATACCCCATGTTTTACTATACTATATCATTATAGGCATACACATTAATTAAACGCTCTCGGGCAAAACTGATATTGGGAAATGAAATGTTATAATATTTGAAATAATTATGATTTATCCACATTCTGAAAGTTGAAAGGAAATATTACAAAAATTAAGAGAAAGTCTCAATCCCTGTTGCTGAGGAGGGTAAGAAAGGAAGAGTGAAAACCACAGAGCAGCGGGACAGGGATCCTTCAGGGTCCTTTAAGGATCCCTGTCTCGCCGACTGTATTTTGCCTATTTATAGTAACCTCCCCTTAACTTCCGTTAAGATACATCTGTAGCACAGTTGGTTTAGGATGGTTCTGTTGACCAGGCAGCTGAATCGATATAATCAGGGTTCGAACCCCGGTCAAGCCCGCGGAATGTTTACACTCAGAATTACTATTCATTATATTGTGTTTGTTTGATCTTTAGCATTTCTCATAAAAGTCCCGTAGGGTATGGTTTCCTTTTCAGAAATGATTTATCAAAGCTATAGCCATTCCGGATAAAACAGTTTCCAACACGTAGTTACAGTTTTTGGCAGTGGTATAGCCACCCTTAAAGGTCGCTACTGAGAGTATAAGTCGTCTTAGCGCCGAAGGAGCTGAAATCTAGCTATCTTCTGTTTGAGAGAAGTACCATCGTGATAGGATAAAACAGACGTTTAATCCTATTTTTTACTCATACTTAGTAAGTTTATGCGTATTTTTTAATCTGTCTGTGTTTTACATAACAATTTGATAATCGCATTACCTCGACAAGTGTAACGGTACATTATATACAACGCGCGCATAATTAACACTGTAAATGTATAGGATTCACTTAGTAGAAAAGCTTGTAAGTTCAAGGTATTTGCAGCAAGTCAAGAAGTAAGTTACAAATACATATTATATATCACGTGTAGACCAATACCGAACTAATTATTGTTATACTGGTCTCACGTCATCTACACACCGAATACTTTAAAATCCGGGAACTTTGATTACCAACGTAGAGTAAAAGATGTTCAGGTAAATACGTCGAGGAAATCTTGAACGGAACATTTTGATGATTCTTGCTACATTACTTACACCTGAACCTATGACTACAAAATTAAGCATAGACTTCACTAAAACATAGACTTCACTAAATCATAGACTTCACTAAAACATAGACTTCACTAAATCATAGACTTCACTAAAACATAGACTTCACTAATACATAGACTAGACTTCACTAAAACATAGACTTCACTAAAACATAGACTTCACTAAAACTGTTTACGTCTTACTTTCACAACTTCAGCTAAACACTTACCTTAATCATCGGCAGATATAGGAATGCTACCCCAGATAAAATTATATCCTTTTATATAAAAAGCTGTGTATACCAAGTCACTCAGAAAGACAATAAACAAAAACAAGACCTTCTTAATTCACACCAGAAACCAACCCGTTATTGTTTTTTGCTTCGCCATTCACAATTGAAGCCTGCTCAAGTAACAATTTGACAGCTTTCTGACGATGATTACTGTGTATTTGTACTTATGTGTGGTTAATACAACGTTTTATTCACCAGGCTTCAAAACCATCGCATGTGGTTTAACCACCGTAAGGACTTGTACGAGACGGCAGCGCGACATAAAATGGCCATCTTTCGCCGGTGTCCAAAGGATACCTGTCAAACGACTGATCACAGTCCGTCCACGTGGGAGCTGAAAACGCCCTAAAAGGACCAGCCCCTGACAGGGGATCACAACAGTAGATTTAAATGGCCCTAATAGCATGTAATTGCCGACTGACCATTCACATTTTCGTCAGATCAAAAGTGTCGAAACCATTAAATACCGTGAGATAGTTTGCTATATTAATTACCGAGCACGTGATGGTCCCGTGGTTAGCGTTGTACTAAATTACAGCAGCGTTAACGTTATTACTGAGTCCACTGTGTGCATGGTAACCATCTTAGATACTACACGTCAGTTGCGGTATTTGCACAGAAGTTGAAATTGGAGTTGTAAAATATGATTTTAGCTTCTCTAAGAAGTGAAGTGAATACTGTATTTCAACGATCTCAACGAAAGATTGCAATCACATATTTCACTACAGCTTGTCATTGTGATAATCATGATTTCACTCTCACATCTATATGATAACAAATCATTGCGAAGTCAAACCTCGTGTTTAATATCTACTCATGTGACTGACACGATGATACCGCTCTGAAAATTCACCCTGTCGAGTGTCTTTTCTAAGACTATACATGAAATGCAACTTCTGTCAGCACTGTCACTTACATTACCACTGCGTGAGAACGCTTTCCTCCTTACTTCTGTCCTGTGACCACATTTATGATTTCAATGCACTTTGCAACTGTGCGACTGAGTCAGCACTCCTTATATATACCAAACGATTTAACTATACTTCTTTCCATCTTCAAGGAAAATTTCCATCATAATTTGGTTTTAAAACACAAAGTGGAACAACCGAACAAACAGTTAACTTATTTCAAACCTGAATAATCAAACAAGGGGTAACACAATTTCTTTGAACCAAATATGAAAATTCCTGTCTGCCCGGATGATGTGTGGGGGAGGTGTGTGTGTGTCCATTTTACAATATACACCTTTAAGTTATGAAGTATACAGAAAAAAAGCGAGTATTGATATTACATTCGACTGGTATTTCTTGCCTAGTAGGGATACCCGGAACTCTCCCCAGGTAACGCCTCTTCATACCTGTCTGGTACCGTATACAGGTATACAATGTGTGAGGGGGTGTAACTCCTAAACGTGGTAGTCTGTTATATTGTTATTGATACGTGGGTATTGGTTTAACGTTACAGCTATGTCTTGTTAATGTCATCATTTGTAAATTCCTAAAAGTAATTCACCTTAAAATCGCTGTTTGTGTAAAGACTATAGTAAACTGTGGTTATTGTTTAAACCATTGAGTATAATTACACATACGCCTGCTTTGTGCTTCGTCAACACAGCTATTGCATCTTGTCAATAAATCAGTGCTTCTTTGTAATGATCTACATTTATGTTACGTGTTACAAGATACTGATAATTCTATTCAACAGCTCCCCGTCAAGTTCACAAAACACACTTAAAACTTGTTAGGTGTTTGGTTGACACCGATCACCGGATACCTAACAAATTATTGACCTTTAGTGTCACGGGATACCTAACAAAATATTGACCTTTAGTGTCACGGGATACCTAACAGAATACTGACCTTTAGTGTCACGGGATACCTAACAAATTATTGACCCTTAGTGTCATGGGATACCTAACAAAATATTGACCTTTAGTGTCACGGGATACCTAACAGAATACTGACCTGTATATATAGTGTCACCGGATATCTAACAGAATACTGACCTTTAGTGTCACGGAATACCTAACAGAATACTGACCTTGAGTGTCACGGGATACTTAACAGAATACTGACCTTTAGTGTCACGGGATACCTAACAGAAAACGGACCTTTAGTGTCAGGGGATACCTAACAGAATATTGACCTTTAGTGTCACGGGATACCTAACAAAATATTGACCTTTAGTGTCACCGGATACCTAACAGAATACTGACTTTAGTGTCACCGGATACCTAACAAAGTACGGAACTAGTTTGTCGCGGTAACATAACATTTTGTAATCTTATATACTGCTTTATCACAACCTAGTTCGTAAGTCGTCTCAAAGCGGTTCACAAATTATTATCAGTGGTTCTTTCTCAACACCCTGTAGAGCATACAGCCGGTGCTGCCATTTCGACACTCACAGCTAGCATTCAACTGTTCTAGCACTGCCCAACTACTTACTCATTTACAGCTGAGTAGACCGGAATATGTGGAGTAAAATATAACACAGTGTCGTGACGTGACTCGAACCCGCAACCCTTCGGTCACGAGCTCGGCATCCTTCCACTAGACTACCGTGCTTCCTATTTATTTCCATTGGCCGTCAGTTAGAATCAACAAACAAAAAATAGTTTTGAGGGATACACTGTTATTTAAAAAGTAACTGAATCTAATGGATAATTGTTCTGACGGTTTATGTGTGAGTATAGCCTATAGTATGATAGATTTAGTTATCATTAGTCTGGTGACTACTGACTTCATGTGAGAAGTTTGTGTGCGGACATGGTTTCCCTATATCTGTACAATACAACATAAACGGATACGTTACCTCACTCTCTTACTTGATTCTCTTTCAATAATTCAGTCAGGCCGAGCATTTTGTATTTATATGTTTTAAAATGTATAAGAAATCTTGAGGTGATTTTGACAAATAAATCGTAATCAGTGTGATTCGCCCAATTGATGCATTGATTGCTCCTATAAGGCACGGACCATTGGTTGTACGGTACACGAGGTTTGTAGTCGATTGGATGGTCGATAGAGGTCCACCAGCTAATACTTCCGTACCCAGGGTGTCCTAATAAGGAAGGTGATACATCGGTATACAGTAGTTCGCGTTAAACCATATGTTAATTTGTGCAATAGAGAAAATATTATCAACGCGACGAATTTCCTCTTTGTTTTTCGGGGTCACTTCATTGGAGGGTCATGCTATTGAAAGAAAAACAAAATCCCAGTAACTAATTATAGAGTACTTCCTCAAACAGGAATAAACCGATGGGATGTATACATCTTCATATCGTGGTCGTAGTAGAACTAGGGTGACCTCCTCCCCCCCCCCCCCCCNCCCCCCCCTCCATTTTTATCCTCATTGTCTAAAGTAATGTTTTTAAAATATTGACATATTATTTAGGAAAAAAGGCTTGACTATAAACAAGTGCTCTCTGTTAAAATAACAGAATACAGTGTTTTTTCTTCAATTATGAGGATTTTTTAAGACTAAATTTGTTTGCCCTATATCTCTATTCAGGAAATCACGTATGTGTCAGGTTTTGTGCACGGTATCTATAACGGCTAGAAATGTGTGACTCTCGTGTTATGGGACTAACTGTAGGTAATGTGTGACTCTCTGGTTATGGTACTAACTGTAGGCAATGTGTAACTCTCGTCTTATGGGACTAATTGTAAGTAATATGTGACTCTCGGGTTATGGGACTTACTGTAAGTAATGTGTGACTCTCGTGTTATGTGCCTAATTGTAAGAAATGTGTGACTCTCGTATTATGGGACTAACTGTAGGGAATGTGTGACTCTCGTGTTATGTGCCTAATTGTAAGAAATGTGTGACTCTCGGGTTATGGGACTAACTGTAGGTAATGTGTGACTCTCGGGTTATGGGACTTATTGTAAGTAATGTGTGACTCTCGGGTTATGGGACTAACTGTAGGTAATGTATGACTCTCGGGTTATGGGACTAACTGTAGGTATTGTGTGACTCTCGGGTTATGGGACTAACTGTAGGTAATGTGTGACTCTCTGGTTATGGTACTAACTGTAGGTAATGTGTGACTCTCGAACAAAGAAAAGTGTTGATATAGGAAGACAATGGCAAACCAATTATAGTCTGTTTCATTCTAACCCCACAGGTAACTTACATTTGTACCTGTGTGAAAGTTCACCTGTCTGACTTGTAGCTTTTTTGGATTTATATTTTATAAGTTTTGATAAATTTTGGGGGGTATGGAATTGATAAAATAAAATAATAAACACTGAATTGTCTGTTTATCAAAATTTAGATTGATAATTTAAAATTCATTTATGCATATACATACGAAACAATTATTACACACATGATGTACAATACAGATGTAACAATAACTAAATAGTATGAGTTTATAGTCAAATATTTCATTTAAATTACACTTTTCAAGCCACCAAATACAAGTTCAAATATATGCTTAAAGACCTATGGCGGAAAACTGACCATATATCCCTAAGTCGGCATTTATGAATACGGGAAAAAAATAATGAGTAAATAATTTCTAGTAGCGAAATTCATAGCCATATTCCTATATCTAAGTAAGTGTTGGAGTGTCCCAGATTTAGAAAAAAATACTTAATCACTTTCCTATTAGAGAATCATCTTTTGAATAAAAAAAAAAATATTCTGTGATGTAATATGCAAAAATAAATTATATGACGGGAAAGTGGTCCTCCTTTGGGTGTTTGGGAAAGTGCTCAAAATAATGAAAAACATGGCTGATCAAGTTTCTGGTTCGAAAGATGTTTCTTTGGTTAAAACAGATTGTATTTACATATTAGTGTATGTCCGATATAGCCGAGTGTGTAACACAGTTTACTTTTGATCAGAAAAATTGAACGGCGCGAGTTCGAATCCACTTTCAACTTCACCCTTTTTAACATCTAGACATGTTATCATTTTCCTTATTTAAATAATGAAATATGTTTCAAATCAATGAAACAAATTATTTATATTTTAATAACATACCTATTGATTTTATCTTCTATGGAATCATGTCATCAACTTCCTGTACACGTGTACATACAGTACAGCTACACTTTGTAGGTAAGACATCATTTTAAATAATATTTATGAATTAATTGTTTTACTTTCCGATTGGCACTAGTAATGTTTTATTATTTAATCACAAACAAATGATGTCGAAATACAAAATATGTGGAATTATTGCGTCATAATAAAAAAAAGCCAAGCGAAATAAATGAACTGTTATTATCGCAAATATACACTACAGTCCGACAGTCAAGTGTCACACAGTTGTGTTGAAATCTATCCCAGATGTAAGAGATGTGATGCTGCGTTCGCGTATCGCATAAAGTCCATCGTCCGGTTATCAAGATGTGAAAAATAAAATAACACATTTCATCTTATCATGTCATATCAGCAGCACAAGGACTACAGAAGGGATATATTATATTGCTTATTATAGTGAACTGTTTTAAAGTATACATCATCTTTATAATTCTAGTGTTACTCGATACTTATCAATAAATCTCATTACTGAAGAGAACTATCTCAATTAACGTTAGACATAACGCACAAAAGAAAGACGTTCTTAAAATCGTATCCGACGGGTGAAAAACGAGGTCATGCTACGGTCTGATGACTAGTTCAGCGGTAACACCCGAGACGTTTTGCTCTAATAATTCATTGTGTTTCCAAGTTTCCAGTTTTATCTATTCCTGGATTCAACCCTGAAAATTTTCAACTGTTTACGTTCCGATTATAATATAAATACACGTGTACCCAGCGAGTAAACTGTAACATACGTGTACTTAAATGTAGTACATGTGTCTACTTAATGTGAAAACACGTGTACCACCAGGTGAATTGTGGAACACGTGTAGCTAGTGTGTGAAACTCTTGTTTCAATTATGATTATCTTAATTATACAACATTTCTAGAAAGGAAATTGGATCACATATGTAAATCACTTTTATTTGCTCAGATAGTGACAACGTCATTCTTCACTGATGGTCATAGTATGATATAACGTCATCCTTCACTGATGGTCATCGTATGATCTAACGTCATCCTTACTGATGGTCATTGTATGATATAACGTCATACTTACTGATGGTCATTGTATGATATAACGTCATACTTACTGGTCATTGTATGATATAACGTCATCCTTACTGGTGATCATTGTATGATATAACGTCATCCTTACTGATGGTCATTGTATGATATAACGTCATCCTTACTGGTGGTCATTGTATGATATAACGTCATACTTAACTGGTGATCATTGTATGATATAACGTCATCCTTACTGATGGTCATTGTATGATATAACGTCATACTTAACTAGTATCCTTCACTGATGGTCATTGTATGCTATAACGTCATCCTTACTGATGGTCATAGTATGATATAACGTCATCCTTACTGATCCCCATCGTATGATATAACGTCATCCTTACTGATCACCATCGTATGATATAACGTCATCCTTACTGATGGTCATAGTATGATATAACGTCATCCTTACTGATCACCATCGTATGATATAACGGCATCCTTCACTGATGGTCATTGTATGATATAACGTCATCCTTACTGATCACCATCGTATGATATAACGTCATCCTTCACTGATGGTCATTGTATGATCTAACGTTATCCTTCACTGATGGTCATTATATGATATATGGAGGTTACACAACGAGTGGTTGTTGAATATGGTATTTATTTCACTCGAGTTAGTTAATTAAGTTACAAAAGACAACCACGAGTCGTGTGATCTGTTTCTACCACAATCTCAGTCTGAAATAGCTGGAGTATTTCCTGATTTGAATAGCATACACACATTGTGTTGACAAGGCTGGCGAAGTGATATAACTGGTTATTGTAAAAAGTCACTCATTAATATTCAAAAATGACTTTCTTTTTACAAATTTGATAATTTTCAAAATTAATGTTTTGGCAACAACTTCGTGAAAAAATTAGATAGATGAACGACTTTAAATATTGAGAGTATGCAATATTGCATTAATTAATATAAATTAACCTCGGACTTAGTATTGCAGAGTTATCTTCTATTGGGAGCAGGAATTGATTGTTACGTCATTGGTTTGTGCGAGAAAATTACGTCGTTTTCTCAAAAATTGATGACGTTACTCTCACAAACAAGTGACGTAACAATCAATCCCTGCTCCCATGAGAAGATAACTCTGCAATACGCAAAGACGGAATATGCGCGTAAGCATATCGTACAAAGTCTGCCTCCCGCCAAGTGATGAAGACGAACTAATCGCTGTCAATGTCCAAAACCATAGGCCCTGGGACGTTTCTTCGTGATGTTCGATGGTTGACGTTTATAGTGAGAGTTCTGCCATAGACAGACCCTCCAAATATTGATAACTGGACATGGAGAGAACGAAATATTTTCCGACACTGTTACAGATCTTGTTTGGGTTTCACAGAGACATATATATTACGTCTCTGGGTTTCACGACCTGGACACGCGACGGTATGGCGTCGAAACGATATCGAGCGTCTATAGTAATTTTGCCTGAAACTAGCGATCAAATCTTTAAGCATCATCTTCTTTTGGTATTGCCTTAATACACCCCTTTTCCCATCGCATAACCTCACACAAGTCATTAGCATTTGCCGGATGTTGACAGCAGACGACGTAAACAAAACAGCACGCGGCAAAAAGGGCATGAAAAAAGTCGACCGGTCAAGGTTCATCTTCTCGACCAATCAAAACTACGGAAGGTTATATACCACGTAGGGTGTATAACTCATATTTATTCAACAGTCTGCATGTTTATACAATGATCTGAGAGTGG